CACAATGTGACCAGACGGACTGTTAGGCGCGAGCTAAAACTAAGATCGCGCACTAACAAGGAAGGCTGGATGATTACTCGGGCTCAAGAAATACAGAACGCGGGAGCAATGGGTAGCTATCGCAAGCTCTCAGTTGATTCGCACCATTGGTCCCAGGAAACCAGGTGTCAGTGGAACAATCAGTGACAGCGCATTTACCATGATACACAATAAAGAGCACCGTATGGCTCGTTGAGCGGAGCACTTTCAAGATTAGTTAAGTTAGCCTCCTGCTTTCTAACCTCTTACCACTCAAGTGATGCAAGATCAGCTATCGCCGGTTAGTTTAGAGGCTCCATCGGAGGCTGAGGTCCGAAGCGCGATCACAGCGCTCAATTGTTTTCGTGCTACTAGCCCGAATTCCCTTTCACCTGCACTGCTTAAGGATCAAGGTGAGGTCCTCTGCAATGCACTGACTTCCCTGTTCGAGTAGGTCTGAAAGGAAGAGACGGTGCCTGCTAACTGGAGTGAGTCGATTATAGTTGTGGTACACAAGAAGGGGGTTTGCACTGACTGTGAAATACACAGGGTATTAGCCTAATGCCGGATGGGACGAAAGTACTGGCCTCAATTCGCGTTCGTCGTTTCACTGCAGAAAGGGTATCCCGGAGTGGAGAAGAGCAAACAGGTTTCCGCCTAGGACGGGGCTGTATAGACCATCTACTCACTTTGCGGCAGGTGCTAGAGCAGCGCCATGCATTCCGCAGACCGACAATAGCTGTGTTTATCAACTTCAAGAGTGGGTTCGATTCAGTCGATTGTTCCATTCTTTTTGAAATACCTGCGCGGAATACGTTTCCATGAAATATGTGGACATTTGACGTGCCATGTACTCGAACACCACAAGCCGCGTCAGGAGCTATGGTGATTTGCCGAAGGGCTTTCCGACAGTAAGTGACATTCTTCAGGGTTGTCTAATTTCTCCATTTTTGTTCAATTTCGTCGTGGACACCATCATGGAGTGTTCTCTTGCGGAGTCTAACGATGCAGACGTGGTGCTGCCTGGTGAAAAGGTGGTTGATCGTGATTATGCGGACGATATTGTCTCGATGTTTAACAATGTTGAGGCGACGTAATCAACCATGAATAGCCGTTCTAGAGTGGTCCCATTATCCGGCATGAGGTTGGCACATTTAAAGTGCCAAACGATGTTACCGGACCACAAGCAACTTGACGCCCCTTGACCCTTGATCGCGAAGAACTAAAGGCAATTGACTAATTCACCTACCCTGGCAGCTGCATCAGAAAAGATGGGCACATACCAACTGAAGTCAGTTGACGCATTGCAAAATCTAAAACTGCCTTGTGAATCTGCGGCATCTATGGCGCCTGAAAGCAGTTTCGCTAGGTCTGAAAATTCGTGCATACAAGGCCATAGTGATGACCGTCCTACTTTATAGAAGCGAGATTTGGCCCCTTCGGTGTGAGGATCTGAGGCGGCTTAAGGTTTTTGATCATCGCTGTCCGCGAAGCAGTGCTAGTGTCTGGTGGCACCAGTGTGTCCACAACGATGATGTGCGTAAGCGATTGCTAAACAGCGATAACCAAGCTAGTTCCTTAGAAAAGTATATACAGTGTGGCCACGAAGTCCCTGGTCATTGTTCATAACTGATGTTTTTTGCAATACCATTTATTATTTAATATTTGCACATTTATCATAATATTTATAGCATATATGTACGATACATTTGCCTTCTATTTTCAGGCATACAGTTGAAAAATGCCTGACACAAGTCCCTACACCATTGAAGAAAGACTCATAGCTGCTGTTTGGGTACATGATCGAGTGCTAGAAAAAAGAACAATGACTGACGTTTCCACAAAATCCTAGGTGCGTTTCAAGAAGCCTGCACCAAAAAAGGACACATTATTGGCATGGAAGAAGAAAACATTTGCATCTGGATCTGTGCTGGATGCCCCTCGCTCTGGACGCCCTGCCTCCCGAATGGAGCACGTGGAAATCATTCAGCAGTCAGTTTTCAATTCTCCAAAGAAATCGACTAGTAAGAGGTCTGCTGAATTGCATATTCCCCGCTCCATACTTCAAAAGGTACTCAAAACTAACCTACGCATGTCAGCATTCAGGCCAATGCAGGTCAGTAAACTGTCTGATATTGATCGACAGAATCGAATGGAAGCGTGTCAACACCTTCTTCAGGAATTCCCCACAAAAGCTAGTCGTCACAATGTCTTCTTTAGTGATGAATGTGCTGTCTATCTCAGGTCACGATCAAGGGATGTTTACATTTGGAGCAAGATTAACCCATACTATGCTGAAGAAATCGCCCACAACCCACCGCACGTCATGATGTAGGCGGCAATGTCAGCCAGCAAAATCGTTGGGCCAATCTTTTCGAAAACTCAGTGAATCAGTTCACCTACGGAGAAATGTTGGAGACCTGGTTCATTCCACAATTGGTTTCAACTGGAATCATGCATGTAGCCATTCTGCAGCAAGATGGTGCTCCTGCACATTTTGCTATCTCGGTGCGCCGGTTCCTGAATGAGAATTTCCCTGGCCGGCGTATTGGACGTGGAGCACAGCATCAATGGTCAGCTCGCAGTCCTGACCTCTCATCATGCGACAATGCCTTGAGGGACATGATGAAAGAAGACATTAGAAAAACACGTTACAACAACACAGAAAAACTTAAAGCTGCAATCCGTGCTTCATTGAACTCGATTTCCCCTGATGTTCTGCAACGCATCTCAGCACGCACTTGGAGACGCATTCGTCTATGTGTTGAGAATGTCGGTGAACGCACAGACACATTGGATCCATGACAGTGTGATCATAGGCTAGCAAATGTTTGTTTCAATAAATTTCATTGATCAGCGAAGAGCCCTTCTTTTCCTAGACAAGTATCATGTACAATGTTTTTTTACATTTGTACACTGATTTACGTAGGTATATGCATAAACGTGGAGTGTCCGGGGATTTTGTGGCCACCCTGTAGAACTGAATAAGTTGTGTTGGCTTGGGCATGTACTAGGTATGCCTGGTTATTGGTTACTATGTTTAGTCTGACAGATGTGAAGTAGTGCAAAGCCCGAGGTGGGCAAAAATTATCTTTGCAGCGGGAATTGAAGTCACTGATGACCCAACTCGGTACCTTTCAGGTAGGAGTCTACAAGAGCCGCCCTGTGGTTGCCTCGAGACGTTACAGGACATGGCCCGCAGTCGACATCAATGGCGCGTCTGCTGCTGTTTCCTAGCTGGACTGCCTGTTTAAAGTGTGTTTGGTACGGTTATCTGCGGTGCAATGGCTGATCATGACGCGGGAGAGTGGAAGCCGCAAGGAAGCTGTCCCGCCGATACCACATTATCTTTGCAAGATAGCCAGCTGTTTGTGATGGTATGTTGTTGATAAGGTGTAGGCGCCTTGACCGCAAGGGTTTGTTTACGGCAGTAATGTTTTACGTTAGGTTCTCTTCTCTCCCTCTTATTGTTCTTCGTTCCGTAGGTCACCATGGCTGTACGGCAGCGAAGCATCAATGCAAATGGCTGATGCACTGCTGCTGTTGTTGATGATGATGATGACAAGCGGATAGTTAGGTAGTTAGCGGGAAGCGCGAGAATGCGCGATTATAATATATGCACTATGTGTAGTTCGCCCCAGTTGGCTGCGACAGTGTCTTCGCTCACAGCTATTCTAATGAGTGAATAAATGCGTAAAAGGAACGAAATCATCAGGACTGTCAGGGGACAGCAGTACCTAGCTCAAGTACACTTGAATGCTCTAATTCGATTAGTCATATTTCAATATAAATCATCTGATCACTAAGTAAGTCAAACGTAGGAGACTGTCTGCATCGACCACGGTACTGCTGTGCCCAACGATTCAGATTGTACATCTTAAACTGGAGCACCAGTACGGCTACAATGACGCAGGAACTCTTGGGAGCAATCAGGCGAACAACTTGAAAGAGGCCGCGGAAGGCATACACACCACTAAAAAAAACTCATAGTTTCAGTGTAAACTGAGTCCACTAGGTTTCCTTATCAGATCGCAGGGTTCGCTCGAACTTGCAACGAACAGTCCAGAAAGTTGCAATGTGCACAAAAGCGGCACGGGTCCTTCTTCTGAAACATAGCCGTTTTAGCGATGTTTCGTTTAGCTAGTACCTAATGTGCGGATGACAGAAGCTTCCGCGTCACATACGGTATAATAAATTATATTCCAACGAACCTAGATAATCTCAAAGCAACTATGTTGAAGCTTAGAACGCGGGTATTATAGTACGCCCAGGTAGCCGTAAAATGAAATAGCTTAGTGACTGCCAGTGGAGGAAATCTGTCAGTGCATTTTCCAGTGAAGTTCAATGAAATCCGGTATGATAAGAATCGTGCAACGCGCGCCCATTCCAGCCGCAACGGCGGACGGAACCATGGCACATGAAGTTTATGACGATGTAGTCCCTTGTGGTTTATCGACAGTTAACTAAAAGAGACGCAAAGTGACACAATTGCAACAGACACTCACCATTGTACGAAAGAAGACGCAGACTACAAGTGTACAACAAATGCACAGTGCGTAGTTCAGATGCTACCTGAAGCGTGATGTGATGTGCAAAACGTTTAGGGGCATAGTGTCGCTAAAAATAGACTTTAGATTAGGAGACCGAGAACTGAGCGTATACTAAGATTGAGGAGAAAACAGTAGGTTTGTACGCTGTCAGCTCGTGTAGAAAGACTGAGAAATGAACGGATGAAGACGATGCACTTGGACAAACCCTTGGTCCCATTTCCAGGGAGTTGTGCCGGCGAAACGCACGAAGCGCGGAGAAAGCGCACTTCCTTCGCACGCATATACAGACGGTGGAAAAGTTATCAAGAATCCCTTCGTTGATGAGAATCAAAAGGATCCTAATCGCTGGACAGTAGCCAAACGTAGACCATCTAACGAACCAGTGGAATTGGATAGGAAACATCTGGAATTCGCACAAGTTCGCATACTTACCGTAGCGCATGTCTCGGCATGAGGGATCAGGTGTGAATACCGTAGTATCGAGGGCGTTCGGTATCACATAAACACGTTCGGGATCCAACTGATTCCGTAACACTGAGTTCTCTTTGCAAATATGTGAAACACAGATCACGTAGTCCACCGCGGAGAGGACGCCCTCTACGATTTTGTTCATGGTGACCGAGGATAAGTCAGCGAAGCCGAACAAAGAGTGGTCGGTGACGACGGTGTGTATTCCAAGGCTTTGCGCATGTATCACTGTCTCATGACTGAGCAGCGAAAAGGACTGACGGAGTGGAGGGCAGAGGAGTGTACAAATCAAAGACGATAAGCAGACAGAAAAATAAGTCGGTTCAGTTACCTGAAGGTCACTAGAACTTGTGCCGAATCCATGACCCTAACATTCGAAGCTCAGATAATAGGAAATAGGGAGATAATTAGGCAAAAAAACAATAATCGAAAAGTTAAAACCGAAGCTGACTTTATTCAAGTAAACAGTAAGCCGAATAAACAGTTTCTATGGACAAAAAACCTTTAGTAGACTTCATATCGCGTTGGGAGCGGTGGGGGACGTCGAAGGTGTAGAAAATGAACCGCATAGGTTCAAATCTGCTCAGTTTATCGAGTGTGATCCGACATAGAGTGTGATTGATTCCATGGTCGCTATTCATGCAACCATTACATTAGAGTAACAAGGGGAGAAATCAAGAAACAGAGACACAAGCTGGTAGGGGACCAAAAAAGCGAGGGATAGTCAGATTGGCAACTAGTATCGGATGAAAGTCTGATTGTCAGTTTGTGACTTAAAAGAACCGGCGCAGCAGCACATGTTAACCAAGGAAAAAAATCAACGACATTTATGATTGCAAGTATGAATTCATGTAAACGATAGATTAAGGAGAGGTCAGCGTGAAGCAAGTCGTTAGTTAAATAGGAAAACCGAGATCACGCTTGTAAAATAGAATAGAATGCCAATAGTCGGGGCCCTAGACTTTGCCTGGGTCTGGATGCAGTCAGCGAGTCTGAAACAAATGAAGGCGTTCGTATTCAACTCAGTTGAAGAGAAACCTGGAAGCCATATGGTTTTGAATTTAAGTCTTGACTTACCCCTGGTAAATAAACTAACGAGAAGACAGGCAAAGTATCCAGGAAGAAAAAATGAAATTAATTATTATTGTTATGTGGCGCATACAATGCATCGTCACTGTTGACATGCTTAAGGATGGTTAGATAACCACCAAGACAAGCGGCATGAAATCAGTGAATCAGGAGGCGACGAGAGACGAAAACAAAACGAGATGAAGTGTACGCAAACCACACTAAGATACAGGACGTACAGAGTGTCCATGGACAAGTTCGACCTGCTCCCGAATGAGAATGTCCCGAACAATGGATAGGGTGCCCAACAAGGACAGAAATATGATCTGTTTGTAAAATGTGATGAACGGAATGTAGTACACCTGAAGAGGGAACAAAACGCGGTGTTGGAAAGTGAACAATTGCAGAAGGGTAACGTCATTATAGTCGGTGGACAAAGTTGACAATAAAAGCATGGCACCTGCGGTGCCAGCTTGCGGAAATGTCAAGTGAGTGTGAAATGATCGTAAACGCGCGTGACACCCAAAATGGCGCTCGTCAGACAACGGCAGAATATGCAGTGCAAAGTGCTAGAAAATACTCAACCGATGCATATGAAGACAGACGAGCTCCTTGTTGATGCGTAACAGGAAGCATGTACAGTAAACAGCACGCGGCCGGATCTAAACAGGCAGTTGCGAATTTGGGGAGGCGAGCAGTGAGACCTTATGTTGATGGAACGGCTTAGACAATCGCAGTGGGGAGATGCGTGTCACCGTGCCTCCGATTTTATGCGGATACAAAATAGGGTAGTTAGAGGAGCAAACCGGGCTAGCGAAGCGCGCATGAAGCACACAGAAGAACACCAACGTTGGGATGTGACGAACAGAAAACTAAAAGAGATAGGTGAAACGTTGCCGAGACCACTCCTCGTCTCGCAGATATTTCCGCACGTACCCCTCCCAGAAGTTCTACGTAAAGTCGGAACGATTAAACTTGGAGTCGGGTGGTGAATTGATATATATGCCATTCTATCATGCGATCCATCATTTTTCAGGTGTATGCTGGGAAAACCACCAGGGATGTCAAACACCACCAGTATCACCCCAAGCAAGTGCAAAAAGATAATGTCGCTTCGCAACGCAAGATTATTGTCAAAAACTGAGTTCATGTTTACCGAAGAAGTGTCGTCGACCATAAGAGAAAATATTTTGAGTTAAATGAAGCTCAATTGAGATAACTACCGAATGCTGGCAGGAAGTTCACAACAATCGAAGCCATAATTGTGAGGAATATCGGCTTGTGAACACCTGGGGCTGAGTCACAGAGGCATTTTGTACACCAAATGAAACCGGTTAAAAATAATCAGAATTTGTCACTTTGATTCTTCTCAATGACGGTCTAAAATCAATAGGGAACAATAATGAGGCACTTGAAATAACAAGGTTGACATGAGTTACGCCGAACCAGGTAACACAAGCGCCAAAGTTGGGAAGGATTTTGTGCTTCACAGACACTCGATACGCAATGGGAGATCCAACTCTACTTATCCTGGCAACTCATATCACAGTATTCCGTAGGTGTAGACTAACAACGGAAGGTTCTCCATAACATTACTAAGGAAACTTCTGATATTCAGTCTAATACATTTTATTCTGAGAATGTTAGAATAATATTGGCGGAAGAATTCACGGAACAGGCAAGCATCATCAGTTGCCGGTGCTGCGAACCATCGCTTTGCTGCCGCGTGACCGCCACCAGCCGCGCATGAGCTAGGGAAGCTCCGAGGTCACTCTTAGATTCGAATCCGGGTCCATTGGTTTATAAAGCAGACACTTTACTTCCTGCGTCATTGGCCGAAGTTCGCGGTATCGAGTGAGATTTTCAACAAAATTTTGTGACGTAACCAACTCGATATCACGAACGTCGACAATGCAGCACTGTGGTGGGATTATGCAGGCAGAAAAAACGTTACGAATTTACATGAGAAAGCAAACCGCTAACTTGCCGCAAGCGAACAGAGCAGTTGATTGGACGTCTACGCATATTTTGCCTACGCGTTGATTGGTTCGTATTTGGCTACGCTGGAGCAGGCTTGTTGAACTGCTTCAAAGGATGCATCGCATGAATGCAGAAGCGTTGTTAGTTATGGGAGTGACCTAGTTATTTACATCGAAGTTTCCACATGTTGGTAATGCTGTCACTTTTGCTGAGCTTGCTATGTCGAACAAACCGTTTGTCCCTGAAGGACCGAGTTCTGGGAATGGTGTCAGAGAAAACCAAGGCAAGATCACCAAATGGTGCTCAGTTGCTGATTGCAGCGCAACCATTCAGCTCAACTTAATTGTTGAAATACGTGACAAAAGGCTAGGGAAAAAATCCCGCAAATCGTTCCCGCGTAGCTTTGATAATTTTCGTTAACGGTTAGTCAAGTAGATAGTTTTAGATGTAGCCTCGGATAACCACAACTACGTTCCTCAGTTCGAGAAACCAGTTCAGAGTACATTTTTAAAACTTGTAGAGTGCAAGATATTGAAGAGGTGCATAGGTATTCAGTGAAAAGTTGACCTCAAGTTAAGTTGTTTCCAATTTTTAGGACGTAAATAAAGAAAATACAGCATGATATGAGAAATGAGAAGTGATATTGACAACGTTTTGTGCGCTATATAGGTTCAAATTGTTGGGAAGGGTGCTGAAGTAAGAGCATGCTGATTAGTAGTCGTTCCCTGTCGTTCCCACTGAGTCCCCAATTGCATACACTAGATGACGGTCGAGCCGACAGTCGCCTCGTCGGAGATTGAAGGTAGCGCCGTAAGATCACTGTGTGAAGTAAATTCCAAGCGAGTAACGACCGCAATGAACATTATATGGTCCCAGCTGCAACATCAGCTGCCCAAGTAAAGAAATTGAGCAGTTATATCAAATGAGGTGTCCGAACGTGATTGAATAATTTTAAGATACCACAGTCGTCAGCAGAAAATATGCTACAATCGCGGATGAAAATCAAAAAGTTGCTATAGTGAACCGTTGTATTCCTCCTCGAAAATTGCTTACTAGTGTTGAATGGTATGGTGATACGTGAGTGCGGTCAAAAACGCAGAACAGAAGGCAGATGAAAATCACCATGTGCAGTGTATTCCGGAAACACTAAACATGACAGGACTCACTTAAGGTCCGCGTGGATGATCTCTGATTAAGCGGACACATCACGATAAAGATAAGACCTGAATGTCCTAAGAGATGTCGATTACCTATTGTGTAGTCCAATCAAGACCAGAGATCCCAGTGTTTTCAAATGCTCGCGCTGAACTTTAAAAAGTCAAAGAAAAATATGTCAACAGGAGGAGAAGTAGGTGGGTGCAGAACAGTGGGGCAGTATACCTTTAAACCGCGGCTCATGTAACGGACACCTTGGCGTTGTTTGCCCTTCTCCCCGTAACTGTGGGTGATCACGGTGACACGGTGTCCGCGACGGATGAGACATTGGGCCAACGAGAAAATGTGTGTCTCAACACCACCCACGTTGGGATAGAAGAAATCACAAGCCATACTGAACGAAATGAAGTAACAAAAAGCGAAGTCATTTCGAGGTGTGCATATAGAACATGAGCGTATGTTGACTTGAAAATGGATGAGAAGCTTGTTATGATTGTGCAGTGAATAGCAGTCATTAAGGGATGAAAATCCACCCGTGATGCCGAGTCATGATCCGTGGCTCTAAGAAAAGATTTGAACTTTGGGAAATAGACGATGGTAGTGTGGAATTTGACGAGACTGAAATCGCACCGTAGCAAACAGTAGAGGGTTGAGTGGTTATGGCTGAGTAGAACTTAAGAACAAGCACTGTGCATACTGCGTGGGATTGGCTCGCGTTACAGTACTATTAGTGATCCTGATACGATGAGTCTAGCTTACCGCGATCCGAGATGGTAAAGAGCAATTAGCTAACACAAACCATAATGAACGAGATAGGCGATAAACCACCAAAAGGGCCGACCACTATCAGAGCTTCACACACTATGTCTGTCGGAAAACTGGATGAAAACATGGCGACTAAGGAGGCGTACTGCAGAGAGCATGACAAGCAAGCAAGGCGCACTTGGCAAAGGCAGACCCTTTGTCTGAGTGAGTGGATCATATGTTCAAGTATGACAGGTACGGCAAGGTTAGATAACATCGGTGGCGGAACATAAACCAAAGTCGTAAAACCCTAGAGTAGACAAGCATCTATCTAAACTACTCAGTAAATAAAGGAACGTGAGACCCATTCCTTCAGAAATCAGTTCCTCACAGATGGGCATTTGTTTAGTCTAGCTTAAACAAGAACAGACGAATGATGGTAGAACAAATAATTCCGCACGTGAGATGGTAAGTCACGCACTTCGTAAATACAGAAGAGAGGAAAACCTAGAAACGCCAGAGAAAAACGAACAAATTTGCGGAAATATGTCAAAGCTAGATGCAAATACTCACGCAATACTCAGCCTTTTTCTGTTACTTGTCGGCCAGTTCAAATAATCATAATCCATTAGTCAGTACGGTTAGGACGATAACAAATGAGTTAATGATAATTGTATAATCAGAGATGGTACATGTGGATCGAGTAGATGACCGGAACTGTTCGTTCAGGGGAACAGATTGACTTATATAGGCGGGAAATGGGTACATTCATCGAAGTTGTGGTCTCGGTCACAAGATCGCATTTTCACCTATAAGGAAACAGAACGAGTGTGGTAGATGAAAGTGTCACAAAATACGCACTGACAAATGCCGTCGTGAATTAAGTGAGGAAACGAGAGGTACATCCGAGAGGAAAAACATGAAGCCAGAATTGCAGAACACTCAGTGAACAGTTTGGAATGTTGTGAAACTGTGTGCGAGAAGGAAAAGACACAGAGTACTACGGTAGATGGAGTTGTAATGTAGATTGAGACATAAGAATATGAAAAGGTCTAGTCACGTTTGCCGCCACCAGAAACTCAGCATCAAAACAAAAATAAAGCGTCACAGTCTGGAACTGTCCACCCAACAATGCAGGCTGGAATATACCTGCTTTAGAATTTGTCGGCCATATAATGCTCCACGTTCACGTGATCCATTAAAAAAAACGACTCGACGATGCGCTGCATTAATTGTATTACATGAGATAACTTCGGCTCATCGAGTGCCGACAAGACGAAAACAAGCACTATGCCAACCAGCACCTACGAAATTGGAATGGACAATGCATATGTGCTTATCATGGATAATGTGGAGAGTCAACACAATGGAACATATTTACGTCACAGGACTTGTCAAAGCTTAGCTTCTTGCTCATTGTTCTATTGAGGTGGAATATGTTACTCTACAGCAGGGGCCACAAACTTTTTAAACAGCGGGCCGAATAAAAAAGATCAACGTGGGCCGGATAAATGGAATGCAATGATGTCTTGTGTGTTTAATGCCGCTTGTGCTTACGATGTTCATGTGGAGCACCATATTGATGGTGGGTTGCTGAACATGCGTCGTTTCGGTGCGAGAATCCTAGGCTGTGAGATAATTATCCGTATGTTTCCGTTTGCTGAAACTGTGGGTTGTTTGCAGAGAACGTGGATGAGTTGCAGTACATGACTAGTGCTCTGGCTTCGACAGCGGCCAAAATCTGGCTCACCAGCAATATAAGCAAGTGTCTGCCTTTTTCAGCCTTCACCGGAGGTGTAATCTTCAATATTGCGGCGAATCAGCCTTGGTGTTGAAGTATTGGGAATCACCTCCCGCTTCTGCTACGTTGGGAGTGTGGTGTTGACTGAGCAGTGGCTGCACGGTGAGCTTCATATCTGCGTATCGAAGGCAGCGGCGGTATCCGGGAAGCTAGAGTACCGGGTGTGGAACAAGCACGAGCTTACCGTTGGCCCGAAGCAGATGGTGTACAAATCCATGGTGTTGTCCGTTCTTCTATACGGCAGTGAAACGTGGACGATGTGCCGGCGGGATGTGCGATATCTGGAGCGGTTTCATCAACAGTATCTGCGACGGATTCTGCGCGTTGGTTGGTGCGACAGAGTTGCGGGCACGGAAGTGTTGCGCCGTAGTGGAATGTATGCGGTGGAGTGCATACTTTTGCTGGGACACCTCAGGTGGCTCGGTCATGTGAGCCGTATGGATTCAACGCGGATACCGAAGCAGCTATTATATGGTCAGCTGAGTGTTGGGAAGCGGCATATGTGAAAACCAAAGTTACGTTACCAGGACATGATCAAAGTGAGCCTCTGAGGTTCTAAGCTTGATTGCAGGTCGTTGGAATTGAAGGCGGTTGATCGGCGTGCATGGCGCGATCTTATCACGAAGGCAGTTGCCGAGGCGCAAAAGAAAGCTTTCAAGCATGCGGAGAAGAAGCGGCAGGTGCGGAAGTGACAGGCGCCAATGGGTTGTACACCATCGACGTGGAGCGCGTGGCGATGTGGCACTTGCGGTCACGAGTGCTTGAGTCAGACAGGCCTAGTAACCCAAGATCGAGACAACTCAGGGTAAAGAAGGAAACAACGACGAGTCCTGCTGAGAAGGTAGGCAGAACCGGCGCAGCGCTCGTAGGTGCGCTGCATTCGATTTACTAACCGCGTGCTGGCATGCTGAGCCTCCTTATTTCAGGTGGTCAGTTGGCTATATTGTCCCAATGCTTTTCTTAGCACATGTTAATATCTACCTGAACTATCTTCTAGTAACTTGCAGATGTCCCTTAAGCTGATCTTCGCGTTTGTGCATTTTCTTAAGATACTTTTTTTAACTTTTTGTATATATCGCGGATTTGTTATCAAGCAGTAAGTTTTAAATGCTCATTTAGTGAAGAGCTAAGTCAACTTTTTCTGTATGCATTATTCGATTTATTTTACTTGATATCGTCGTCTCAAGTGATTGGCTGCTGCTTGATATCCCCGGTGCGACCGCGCTTGATGTGCATATCGACAAGGTGACTACCTGTCTATTACCCATTACTTCGTCTATCCTGGCTCTATTAGACAGCTGGTCATTGCTGGAGTGGACGGGGTGTACGGTGCTCGTGGCCGTGCTAGGCTCAAAAAGTGGTTCCATGCACTCAGTGTGGAGCGGACAACGGTCTAGCCACCGCCTTGTGTGCGCTTGATTCCCGAATACAGCGTCCTTGTGTTTGCATGTGAAGGTGTGTGGGCCGGCTCCGTTGATGAAATGTTGCACCCACCCACATGTTTCCCGGTCTTATTCCTTCAGATTCACACTGGAGATGGGGTATGTGAGTGATGCAGCGCAAGTCATCTACCATCCCTCTGTAGACGCAGGCGCTCTGTGACCACAGTAACAGGCAAATCCGAAACTGGATGCCGCCAAGAACATGATATATATATATATATATATATATATATATATATATATATATATATATATATATATATATATAGGAGACATAGTTGAAAAGCTCGAGCAGCGATCTCACCACAGCCAAACCAGCAAACAGCGCTCGGACTGGATCCCAGTTCTATTTACGGGCATTTAGCAAAACCATAATAAATCGAAAAGAGGCAGATGCCGAGTAAATAAGTCCTTTCGGTAACTATCATCAGACAGACTTTACAAGATGACGACTACATGCTAGATGTGCCGGATACGGCTGCGTATTGATTAGAATGTTTACTTCCAAATAGAAACGAATCGAGAAACCACGCATTGAGTGAAGGTAGCAGATTAAGTACAGGAGCAAATCAGCTTTACAAGCGAACATTAACTGGGACACATATCACGGGTTCACGCAACGGTAGTCCTGGGCGTAGAAATTACCTTTGTACGTACAACTCCAACTTGAGGTTGCGGATCTAAACAGCTTCCGCAATAAATTGGAGATGTTTTCGGAATCCGCGCGAAAAATGCTTAGGGATGGTGTTGATGACCCTGAAGTCGTTTTTCGAGTCTGCTTAACAACATACTAAGGTTTGCGGCATGACTGAATTATTAGGAGACCTCGCCTCACCTCTCTAAAACCACTTCAGAATGTGTTCGCGACGCCTATGAGATAGGCGTCTCGCGGCACAACCCATGTATCGTGCACCACAGGAGCAGAAAATCCTGATATGCAAGCATTGATCGATTCACAGGAGGCAGTCTATCCTTCAAAACTTTTGCGAGTATAGGCCTATTTTAGGATACTATGCGTAGGAGAGCCGCAAAATAAGTCTTTTCAACAACGTCATTCAAGTGTTAGGGCAGCGCATCAGCCGCACCGTCGCCTTTGAAATAAAAATGCACCACAAGTTTTTCCTGGGTACACTCATCCTCGGTGGTTTTACCTTCCGTTATTACAAATGTTTGAGGATGAATCGATCCGCATACCCATTTGATTGTAGAGCGCCACTGATTCACAGCAATTGCTCGGTGATGATGTCCGGTGTGCAAATTCTGCGTGTCCAGAAGGCACGATTGCGGACTAGATTCCGTTCGTACTGTAGTGGTGCCGCACTAACGAAGTTGGTGTACTGCCCAGACCAAGTGTATTTTCTATACAACTTTCTACTCCGGGAACGGTAGTCGGCATCCGGACTCGTGTTTACGGGTGAATTGCACATTCTGATGTGCGTGAGTAAAAGGTTTAACAGCTTCACAGCCTGCGCTTTCGATTCGCGGGGCGTAAAGATGTCATATATTTAGTGTATATAAAGCTCGACTCCATTGATGTGTGGTCTTAGTGACCTATGCTCCAGTTTAGCCAAAAAGATATCTGTCAGATAGGGGTCCCAATGGGGACCACATACCAACTCCATCAATGTGAGTACTTATCTCCCGATCGATGACGAACTCCATGTCTAAGCTGCATCTAAGTAACACCCACAGAAGATTTTCTGGGAGATTTATAGGTGCGTTCAGTTGTCGTACTAGTTTGCAAACATATTCCACTGTTTCCAATAACTGAATATTCGTAAACAATGACTGTGAGTCAAATGATGATATTCATTTGTCGTTAAGGCTCACTTCCTTCAGCTTCTCAAAGAACTCGAAGTGTCCTCCATCCAGTAAGTGCAAATGGTTTCACGTAGCGGTCTCAACTTCTAAACCATCCATTGAGCTAGCAGATGTTGCGGAGAACCAACCATGTCCAAGTTGGGACGCATTGGGGCGCTTTGCTTATGAATTTTAGGAAGGCCATACAACCGCGGTAGGTGTCCGCCTGGAGGTCTCAACAATTTTCCTTTCCAGGGCAATTCCGTAGTAGCAACCTGCAGTTCGTTCAAAATACCCAGTTAAAATGATACATGCACAAACTAGCAGTGTGCTAGTAAGCGCCGTCTCACATGACACGCGCTTCAATGGAGCTGACCAACGAAAAATTGTGGCACAAAGGTGTGAATGGGTTTCATGCGTGATCACTCACATCAATGTTCTAACGATGTACGGTTTCACAAGTAACAACCATGAGATGGCTCACACTAGTGTTCAAACAACATAAGGTCAAGGGGAACACGGCATGCAGTATCAAATGTAAACTGTATTACAGCGTCTCGTGTTCCATACGCTTTACCAAGCAAAACCAGGTGCAGTCGGCGGGTCGGATCCAGCCCGCGGGCAGTAGTTTGGTGAGCCCTGCTCTAGAGGATAATTTTGTTCGTTGCAAAGGGCTGAAGGGTGAAATTCGTTTCTTCCACAACTAACCGCAAGTACATCAAGAAAGTGCATGATCGACTTCACGGAGGTTAGCGAGGAAGGAACAA